ACCTGTGGCTCAGTGAGTAGGGTGCCAGCCCCATATACTGAGGATGGCGGGTTCAAACCTGGCCCTGGCCAAACTGCAACAACAACAACAACAAAAATTACCAGGCTTTGTGGCAGGCATCTGTAGTCCCAGTTCCTCGGGAGGCTGAGGCAAGAGGATGGCCTAAGCCCAGAAGCTGGAGGTTGTTGTGAGCTGTGATGCCATAGCACTCTACCAAGGATAATAAAGTGAGACTCTGTCTCTTTAATTAAAAAAAAGAAAAAGAAATATGAATCTACATATCCATACAGGAATGCAAGGATAGTTTGGCATCTGGAAGTCAATTATTTTTAAGAAATCATGTTAAGGCTTGGTGCCCATGGAACAGTGGTTATGGTGCCAGTCATATACACTGAGGCTGGTGGGTTTGAACCTGGCCCGGGCCAGCTAAACAACAATGGCAAATGCAATATATAATAGCCAGGCATTGTGGTGAGCACCTGTAGTTCTAGATACTTGGGAGGCTGAGACAAGAGAATTGCTTAAGCCCAAGAGTTTGAGGTTGCTGTGAGCTGTGACACATGGGACTCTACCAAGGGCAACATAGTGAGACTTTGTCTCAAAAAAAAAAAAAAAGAAAAAGAAAAAGAAAGAAAGAAATCATGTTAATATAAGACAAACCACATGAACATCCCAAAGCATCTCAAAGTCACTTAAAATGTTTTCGGGAGGCTCCGTGCCTATAGCACAGCAGTTATGGTGCCAGCCATATGCACTGAGGGTGGCAGGTTCAAACCCAGCCTGGGCCGGCTAAACAACAATGACAACTGTAACAACAACAACAAAAAACAGCCGAGCATTGTGGTGGGTGCCTATAATCCTAGCTACTTGGAGGCTGAGGCAAGAGAAACACTTAAGCCCAAGAATTTGAGGTTTGAGGTTGTTGTGAGCTGTGACACCACGGGCACCCTATTTAGGGTGACAGCTTGAGATTCTGTCTCAAAAAAAAATATTTTCAGGAAATCAGACTTCTCTTCCTGTTGTTTTTAGTCTTTTGGGACATGATAAAAGGTAAGATTACAGGTGTTGTTCATGAAACGAATCTGGATATCCTATACTCAACTGTGAGGATGCTTTTTGACAAATGTAAAGGATTGTAATCTCGTGTTTCCAAACGTTTTGCTCTTCAGAAGCCACTTTCTTGACAGGTTCTATGTACACAGAAGTGAAAGGGTTAGTGGGGTGTTGCAGGGATTGAGTGAGTCATAGAGTCACCGATGTGTTCAGAGAACACGGAACACACTGGGATATTGTCCCCTCCTCAGCACAGCACCAGTGTGGCCTGTGAAAATGTCCATACCTAAAACATTTCTTATACATCATTAAGAGGTCCGGCACCTGAATCAACCACAGAAGGTAAGATGAGGAGAGTTAAAGAATCTGCTTCTCTGCCAGCTCCTAGATGAGGCTGTTGGTGCTGGTGCTCTGAGGACCACAGGTGAAGTAGCTCAACTCTGGAGCCTCCTACTCATGCTCAGGTGAGACTCACCTAAGGAAGGCACCATCTGTGAAGCTCATGTGACCTTCCATCCCTTTTCCCCATTGCACATCTCCCCCGTCCTTTCATAGCTGGGTGCCCTGTGAGCCTCAGCTGATCCTCTGGGGCTGCTGGAGAAGTGCTCACCATCTGCTGCATTTGAACTTCAGTGACACTGGAGTTGTCCTCCTATCCCCTGCTATCCACAGTGATAGGGATGTAACCCCCGTAGTTGATGTATGGAGTCAAGAATCAAATCCCAGAGACCCCATTTCCAGGGCTGTATTTTACATATTTTTATGAAATGGTCAGGCAGGTGCAGGTGTAAGAGGAGATAGAAGAGAGACTCAGGAAACAAAGTGCATTATGCTCACAAGCCCTAGACATGGGGCGTGTCACCCTATGCAGGGCCACATGGGAAAGACACAAGGATCACCTGGAGATAGAAGATAGACATACGGGAGCAGGAAAATCAGGGCAGGGCAGGCAGAGGAGGGCTCCCCAGTGGAATAATTTCAGCAGGCTTTGGCTATTTGGTCTCTAGCTGCCTGGTACTTGGCTCTGGGATGTTTGAGGCAGAGGAACATTGACCCTTAGGGTACACAGAGCAGGCAGGGAGGTGTGGCTCTGGAATGGGCAGTCTGCACATCAAAGGTATGATCCTGGCTGAGCTCAGGGCTATTTTAAAGCATAGAGAATGGGTCACCCCAGGAGGGACAGTCTCTCCCAAACCAGAAATGTGTTCTAAGATGTGAAAACATCACAACACGTAGAAAATTATATTCAGTTGACCTTTGAGCAACATTGGTGTGAGCTGCACAGGTCCATGTGAGCAACGTTGGTGTGAGCTGTACAGGTCCACGTGAGCAACATTGGTGTGAACTGGACAGGTCCACGTGAGCAACATTGGTGTGAGCTGCATAGGTCCATGTGAATGACGTTGGTATGAGCTGCACAGATCTATGTGAGCAACATTGGTGTGAGCTGCACAGGTCCATGTGAGCAACGTTGGTGTGAGCTGTACAGGTCCACATGAGCAACATTGGTGTGAACTGGACAGGTCCACGTGAGCAACATTGGTGTGAGCTGCA